TTCGTTGACGTGTACATCGCTACAGTACAGAGTCTAACAGTACACAGTACAACGCTACAGTACAGAGTCTAACAGTACACAGTACATCGCTACAGTACAGAGTCTAAACAGAGTCTAACAGTACACAGTACATCGCTACAGTACAGAGTCTCACGGTACACAGTACACCGCTACAGCACAGAGTCTAACAGTACACAGTACATCGCTACAGTACAGAGTCTAACAGTACTCAGTACATCGCTACAGTACAGAGTCTCACAGTACACAGTACACCGCTACAGTACAGAGTCTCACAGTTCACAATACACTGTGATGTTGTGCAGGCAAGTATAGCTGCCTGTTCTCATAGTTCTGGCCGACGATAATTCGCCCATGGTTCTGAGGAAGGATCAGTTTTGGAAGAAGGCCAAAACAATGAAGAGAATATGGAAGCAGATCCTTCACTGCACACGTCACGGCGGAGGTCTAGAAATACTGCATGATGTATAAATTAAATGTATTACTGAATATACAACATAGAATAGAATAGAAGTGTCAGCATTGAAGAAATAGGCCCATGGCCTGTTGCCGATTCTTGTACTTTTCGTGACTTGATTCACAATGGATCCGGCCTTTGGAACCCGATCTTTCCATAACAGATAGCTGCTGGACTTATTGCCTGGTCCGTAATTTGCTAGGCATTTTAAGACTGAACATATGCTCCTGCATAGCTTCGTCTAGTCTGTTTTTGAAGATGTTCATACTCGGAGCGTCAACGATGCTATCAGGGAGGCTGTTCCACATGTCGGTGACTCGAGGTGAGAAGAAATGTTGTCGCATGGATGTGTTAAAACGCAGTTTTTTTAGTTTATAGCCGTGGCCCCTGGTGTTGGATTTTGTTTCAAATTCTAGTAATCCTTCTGGGACCTTGTATAAGCCATGAGTATACTTGTATGCTTCAATGAGGTCCCCACGCAGACGTCGATAACTGAGGCTTGGAAGCATCATAATCTTTAATCTTTCCTCATAGGACTTGCCCTTCAAGCCCGGAACTATCCTTGTTGCGCGTCTTTGAACACTCTCTACTAAATTTTTGTCCTTTTCAAGTTTCGGTGACCACACGACGTTTCCAAACTCTAGGTTCGGGCGCATGACAGCAACAAACATCTGCTTCATCGCATCTGCATCTAGCAACTCGAAAGAGCGTCTGATCAGTCCAAGTCGTTTATTGGCTTTATTAACTTGACCTTCAATGGCAGGAACAGTGAAACCAAATGCCAAAATTACTGTTGCTCTTGCAGCCAATGCTCTTGTCATCATTGGCTGTTTTAATTCAATTTCTTGTTACAAACCCTTCATTGTATCGTCATTTACAGCTCTGTACCCAGGACATTTTCTGAAGCCGTTTTGAGTGCAGTTGTCGACGACAATTCTCGCAAACTCGAGCAGTATCGAAATTCGATAAAAAATTTCCCCTCGAGAAAAAGTTCCTTCGGCGCCAGCAATGCGTATCTGCCGTACTCTCGAGTTTCCCTCCAAATAAAATAAGTCTGAAGTGCCTCAAGTATTTTATTTATAAAAGCGACAAATGTTAATGCAAAGAATGCATTTATGCCTTCTTTGAACGCCTACGCTGCGAGAAACGGATAAATGGTTTGCTGCTTATGCGCGAAAATTGCGCGTGTCGGCGGAATTTTACACGATTTTCCAAAGAAAAAATGACGAAGAGATCGTATAATATTTTTTTGCAATTTGCTTCACGAAAATGTGTAATGGTGATAATATTTTTTGCGCGGTACACACAAGGAGAAAATTTCTCAGTAAAGATCTTTACGAATTCTAAAATTATCGAGTACTCGTATATAAGCAAGAGGTCAGAAAATGGCGCTGTCAACAGTTGGCTTATTGTCATGGAAACTATCAACAGATGGTTTTGTCTCACGAAGGCTGTCAACAGATGGTTTTGTCTCACGAAGACTGTCAACAGATGACTTTGTCTCACGAAGACTGTCAACAGATGGTTTTGTCTCACAAAGACTGCCAACAGATGGTTTTGTCTCACGAAGGCTGTCAACAGATGGTTTTGTCTCACGAAGACTGTCAACAGATGGTTTTGTCTCACAAAGACTGTCAACAGATGGTTTTGTCTCACGAAGGCTGTCAACAGATGGTTTTGTCTCAGGAAGACTGTCAACAGATTGTTTTTTCTCACGAAGACTGTCAACAGATTGTTTTGTCTCACAAAGACTGTCAACAGATGGCTTTGTCTCACGAAGGCTGTCAACAGATGGTATATTCGCCTGATAGACAATTTGAACGTTGAGAAAAATTGTGAACATTCGCTGGGCCCCATTTCTTGAACACCAGCCTGGTGAACACGCAGACTGAACAAATCAGTGAACTCACTGAGTTCTGTGTTCCATTAGTCCTCATAATCAGTGAACTCACTGAGTTCTGCGTTCCATTAGTCCTCATAATCAGTAAACTCACTGAGTTCTGCGTTCCATCAGTCCTCATAACCAGTGAACTCACTGAGTTCCGTGTTCCATTAGTCCTCATAATCAGTGAACTCACTGAGTTCCGTGTTCCATAAGTCCTCATAATCAGTAAACTCACTGAGTTCCGTGTTCCATTAGTCCTCATAATCAGTAAACTCACTGAGTTCTGCGTTCCATTAGTCCTCATAATCAGTGAACTCACTGAGTTCTGCGTTCCATTAGTCCTCGTAATCAGTAAACTCACTGAGTTCTGCGTTCCATTAGTCCTCATAATCAGTGAACTCACTGAGTTCTGCGTTCCATTAGTCCTCGTAATCAGTAAACTCACTGAGTTCTGCGTTCCATTAGTCCTCATAATCAGTGAACTCACTGAGTTCTGCGTTCCATTAGTCCTCGTAATCAGTAAACTCACTGAGTTCTGCGTTCCATTAGTCCTCATAATCAGTGAACTCACTGAGTTCTGCGTTCCATTAGTCCTCNCTCTCATGTACTGGCTGACACTGCACTCCCTGCACCACCCTCATGTACTGGCTGACACTGCATTCCCTACGTGCAGTGTAATCGACCAAGCAAAATCTTTGTTTGTAAATCTCGTTTGACGCCTTAATGGAATAAATGTTTAGTGATGAATTAAGCAGTAGACATTAATTGGCAGACGGTGGATCCACTTTCGCCGTTTAGAAATTTTCGATAAATTCCATTATGTGGCCTAAAGAAACTCCCGCTACTGAAAATAATAACACTGGCCTGCAAAATTTCAGTTAATTTACAGGCAGAAAACCCCACGGCGATGTTGCACCTTAGCGATAAATTTCAAAAGGTTTACTGGAACTGAGGGGTTACAATAATTAGAAATTTAAGTAATTTAAGTAATTGCAGACGAAAAAATGCTGAGCACAGTTAGTACTTCGCGTTAACATTCGCCGTTGGAACTTGGCGATAACTTTTTATTCACTGATAGAATACCACAAATTACAGTTCGAAATTAGCGAAAATTATCACTTTTTGCAGAAAAAAGGGCACGGTTGAACCTAGCAATCACTGCTTGATAAAACTAGAAGCGTGTAGAATTTTTGAAGGAAAAATAGCATGCGTTTGTTAGTTAGCGGCCATGTTTAGGCAAGTGGAGTTATCACTTCTACGTACGGTACCTACCAATAGTGCGTAGACTGAGCACACCTAAATTACGATAGGTCGTTTGATTAGAGACACGGGCATTTGATCTCCATGTCGGTCGGAAACAAGTCCAAAAGCTCGTACGTTTTCCAGTCACCTGAATGAGTTTCAGAAAAAAACATCGAGAGAAATGTCGTCTGTTAGCTTGCGTCTAATTAAACTTCGCAGCGTCCAGTTAATTAAGAGCATCAATTCCATAATTTGTCTCGATGCTCTCTCGGGCTGAGTTGAAAGCTGTCCGGGCTTGATTGGAGGTCCGTCTGAATAGCATGCGATGTGACAGACGTTAAATTATAGCCGAATTAACATTGAGCCAATATGCATCTGTTTTCTACGAGTAACTCAGTATGAGGTGATCGTTACGCACATAACGGGGTAAAAAACTTATGTTAAAACTGCGTCCACTCTATTAGAAACAACTATTAGCATGTCGAAGTAAATGGAAATTCTTAAAAAAGTTGTATTTTGCAGAAATCATAATAGATTTAATTTTAATTAATTAACCATGCGACAACATTTCTTCTCGCTTCGAGTCACCGACATGTGGAACAGCCTCCCTGATAGCATCGTTGAAGCTCCGAGTATGAACATCTTCAAAAACAGACTAGACGAAGCTATGCAGGAGCATATGTTCAGTCTTAAAATGCCTAGCAAATTACGGATCAGGCAATAAGTAAGATCGGGTTCCAAAGGCCGGATCCCTTGTGAATCAAGTCACGAAAAGTTCAAGAGTCGGCAACAGGCCATGGGCCTATTTCTTCAACGCCGACACTTCTATTCTATTCTATTCTATTAAAATCAATGTTCTACAGACCATTCGTACTCAATATACCTCAAGTCTCATGAAAATATGGCCTATTTCCATAGGCCTATTTTGTCAGTGCCGACGCTTCTATTCTATTCTATTCTATGTGCCTCAATTCGTTTGATAAACTATAGGCAGGAGAGCAGAAGATGGATAGATGGAATTCTGCATGACAATTTGTCTGGCTTATTTATATTAATTGGGTCTGACACCGAATCTTGCTATGATGATACAAATATCATCAGAATTTGTTATCCAATAAGGCAATAACGTGGTAAAGAGACGCCGAGCTGGTATTGATGCCCCAACATGTTTGTCTCGTATGCCGTTATATTTATATAACTGTTTACCGTTAAAAGTTCGGGAAAATTATTGTTATCGTATAAAAAATGTAATTATATGACTATAAGGAATTTATGTTCAATAATTAATCATTGACAATAGTTCGTTACGTTCAATGAAATAGGAAAAAATTTCAAAAACTTATTTGTCACAGATATTTGTTGTCTACGAAGGCAGGTAGATTGTGGCACTCATTCGTAGTCTGACTCTGACTGTGGTCGTACAGTGTTTCCCAGCTGATAGTGAAAGAAGATGGCGTCCGTCATTCTTAAAATATTATTCGTCGCGACTATCTCTGCCGCTTTGGCATTTGATGAACAGCCTTCGTCATTAGAAAATGACAAAAATTGTGAATTCTACTGCAAAGAAACTTCGACTGTAAGTATTACACCATGAAAAAGTTAGTGAAATTGTTGATCCATGGACGTCGACGACCTTTCGTTTTGCTTTACAGTTTACTGCCGAGAATTACTTGTCTAGGTACTAACTCTATCAAAATAATTTTTACCTGTTTGAGTTACGTTAACGATTTAAGTCATTTATTGTCCTCATTACCGTTTTCGTTTACTCATCTTGCATTTGCAACAGGTGCTCTCGGCAAACAGCTGCGCTCGTGGCTGCCGCTTCTACGCAATTTCCAAGTTCCTGCAACCTACTGGAGATGTTCGCAGCTTGTGCAAGAACTGTGAGTAGCTAATGTAACAACTGTTAATTCAACCTGATTAATGTTTACTTTTGTGGAAGTTCAATAAATCAGTTTATCACTACTAACATGTCAGTAAAAAAATTTATTTGATTATCTCAACTCAACATCCTGTGATTCCTGTCAAGTCCAAATTTGAAAGCTCCTACTTTTAATCTTAATTTTCTGTTTCAATTCCAAAATCACATAGCTAATTTTCATTAAGATTGGGATATTGCAGGTCTTAAAATGGATTAAATATTTTCTTAATCTTCTGAACCTGTTACTGGCCAAACTGGGATGTCAGAATTCAGGCAAATGGCAAATGCCACCATCCATGAGCCATGAATGGAGACGAAAGTCCTGATTGCTAACAATAACAATTACCAACTACTAATAGCCCTACCATAATTTCTTCAAAACAAATTCATTAAAAACTACAAATTTTTTCAAAGATGTAAAATTGTGAAATCTTATGTGAAAGAAATTACAATATCAGGCACATTTTTCCTATATTTGCTGTCAAAAACTCCTTTATTTGCTGTCAAAAACCCAAGTTTTGGGCAATTTGTTTAAATTTGTAGGCAAAATTGGCTGTTTTTCTCTTTTTTATGAAGTAAATTAGGAATAGGCAAGGTCAATGAAATTGGGTGAAATTTACCACAAACATCTGTTTTCCTCTCCTTCATTGCACTGGTAACTTCTGCAGTTCTGCCCAATTTCCATAATGCCATAAAAGTCAACTCAATCATTTTCACAAGCAATTTTTGGGAAATTATGCCCAATATTCAAGGTTTAAGGGATTTTCTTCAATTTGTGTAGCCTTTACATTCATTATAGATGAATGGATAAATTAGCTATATATCAATTGTTCCATTAGAAATGCATGAAATACTGCAAATTATTTTATTCAACTTTATTGTTTGACCTTGAAGACTTTAAAAATTGGATTGCAGGAAAAAGTTAGAATATTATTATGCTTTCTACTAGTGAAACAAATGACTAAGTTCTAGCAAGAAGTATAATGTTCAAAACAGAGCACACAAATCTATATTTTGGTTGAATATTTATAAACTACCACTTTTTAATAAAATGATATAGCTCCAATTCCAAATGTGTGTTAATATCAATATTATTTCAGTATTATTGAATCTATTTTAGGATTTGAAATATAGAAAATTTTCAGCTGTGCAAATATTTCCTGTTATGAGTTCATATTGTATGACAAGAATCCATTTAGCATTTACAAGGCATGGAAAACAATTGTGAGTTTCAAACTTATTTGCCAAGCTTTGGGTTTATTTGAATCAATTGTACAGTTTTTAAAGTCCCAACAAAATATTATCAGCCAATATCATTTGTTTATACATATAAACATTCCTATTATTCTGTATACATTATAAATGTATACTTATTATACATTTATAAACACTACTTTTCCAGCCAGAACTATAGCTATATGAGCAATACTGCAATACTCATTTTGGTGCATCAACATTTTTCCTAGATGAATTATTTTTCATTTAATTTTTAATGAAAGTACACATTTAAGCCACTTGTTCAACAATTTTACTTCTCAAACAAATGCAATTTATACGTGATGTGATAAGTGATTGAAGGCAAATGATTGATACAGACCATAGTTCATTAAAATTGCTGCAGATGATTGAGAAATAACAATTAAATGAGGGGCAGATTTCAGTTTGTATGGTACTGATACTGTCTGTATGGTCTATTGAATGTGATGTGACCTGATATTGTCCATGAATGCTGAATTAATTTCACAATGGCTTGATGGAAAGCTTGCAAGCCTCACTTGCTGTCTGAACTTGAGAAGGAATTCAGCATGTGATAACATTTCTGTATTTATTAAAGTTTCTTGATGTAAGTTAACTGCTTTGACTGACTCTAACCAATAGTGCAATAAAAAATGTTTGGGATGTTTGAATTTGTAATAGTTTCATTCATTTATTTTGATAATAACTTGAGCAATCCTATTGCATTAATATCTGACGCATACTGGTTTTGAGCGTTTTTCCTTATTAACTTCTTACCATGTAACATTTCATAAACAAGTTTGGGCTCATTTTAAAGGTATTTGCAAGGGCTATTGTATGGCATCTTTGACAAAATTCCATATGATATTCGTAAGATGCCAGACGCAAAATAAAAGCCTACGAGCAGGGTAATGAGGGACATTTGAAATAAAACTAAATTTTAAAACTTTTGAAGCATGCAGAGTGTGCTCATCCATTACTAACAGTAATCTGAAGTCCTCCTCATCCTTTGTAGATAATGCAGATGTAGAATAAATGACACTTTGTGATTTTTACTAGTTTTTCCTTTATTGATACGATATTACCTCATCCATACATTACCGTATTATTGATGTGATATTACCAAATCCATAAATATGCCATTGAGCATTGACAACAACATTGTCCGCTGCAAGCTTCATGTCAGCAGTCGTGTAGCATTTCTTCTGTAAGTAAGCTTACTGGATGGCTTGTAATTTTGTACCATTTTAATCAAGTGAACTCACTATAACAAAAAAAGATTGTAAGGAACATACCGTAAACTGGGGTAACTTCGACCACTTTTTTTTTAAATTATGCCGTTTTTTTTTTCTATATAAGTTAAACTTAAATTGAAACATGCAAAATACAGGTCTATACTCTAGCTTTACTCACCATAAATTGCTGGCTCCTGCCTCTCACAGTTTTGATGTAATTTAAAAAAAAATTGGTCTTTTTTACCCCAGCTCTGGGGGTATCTTAGACTGTGTGGTAAAATCTATTATACTTTTTGGTAAAATAACTCCAAATAACTCCAGATTTTGGTGCATTGTAGTAGAACTCTTCTAGTTACATATGCAAATGACAAATTTGAGGAAAGTTTCATAGTTTGCAAATGGGGGGTCCCGCCCCCCAGGTGGTCTAAGTTCCCCTGATCGGGGGAACTCTGACCACCTAATGGCAGCCCTGACAGGGTTAACATAGACCGGCTTGGAAATTAAGTTAAAATTACCATATATAAGACTCTGTAGAGTCTGAAACCTAAAGAAAAAACATTAATAGGTGTATCAAACGTGAAATGTTATATATGGTAATTTTAAATTAATTTCCAAGCCGGTCTATGTTACCCCGTCAGGGCTGACATTAGGTGGTCTAAGTTCCCCCATTGGGGGGCAGCGCCTCCCATTTGCAAACTATGAGACTTTCCTAAAATTTGTTTGTTGCATATGTAACTAGAAGAGTTGTACTACAATGCATCAAAACCTGGAGTTATTTTGCCAAATAATAAAAAAATTGGAGGGGGTACTCTGACAGGCTTTGAATAATAACTTTTTTTCGTGGGTCACATTTTTAATTTTTTAACCTATTAGATATGCAAACTTTTTAAATCTTTCTATTGTGTTACGTAGCCTCAGTATTAGGCCTTTAATGCCCATTGACAGAATTTTTCTATGTCAGATAGTTTTTGAATTTTGGGGGTTTTTGTTAAAAAAAAAAGTGGTCTAAGTTACCCCGGGAGTCTAAGTTACCCCAGTTTACGGTACCTGAAACACAAAGGAATATTTTAGTGACAACCATCATATTTTTTAAGAAAAAAATCTTAGTTAAGGTTAATTACTTTGCCTGGTGAACAATTCTATTTATGACATTCTATGCACGGTTTTGTGATGACCAATGATGCACTAATTTTTTGTCAAGTGAAATTTTTTTGCTGAGCTAGGTAAATGTAATAAAAAAATTTTGTTGTAATTGATTTTTTTTTGTTAACTGGAGCCTTTGCTAACCAAGGCTCTACTGTAGATACGTTTTAGGGGTGTCCCTTATTACCCGGGGGGGGGGTGCCCCTTATTGCCCCGTCGTGCAGAAATGGCTGCCATTTTTTTCTGGAATGAGATGTGCTAATTCTGTCAATCACATTTTTAAGCCAACACATTTGTGCAACTTCTATGTAAGTAAATTTTTTTAATACGATGAATATTTTTTATTTGCTACAGACCTTTCACATTTCACACTCTTTTTCAAGGATTTTTTAGAGGTACTAATGTATGACTTCTTAACTTGCTTTATGCTACATAGATAGGAAAATTGTTGAACTTTATGCCACTATTTTCTGTTTTGCAATATTTTAATTAGTTTACCTGCTACAACATTTCTACAAAATGTTTTCAGTTGGAGCAGGACAGTCCTCCAGCATTTCTAGGAAATGTTGGAGGACTGTCCCTTATTGCCCCGCCCGTCCCTTATTACCCCATTTGACGGTATTTCTGGCTTGAGATGATAAATAATTACAGTACATTTTTGTTAAAGCTCAGTAGGAAGTTATTATGGCAAATGTAGTAGGTATATGAGAGTCAAATGAAACAGTTTTATGTTTAGAATTAAACTGGCAGAAATTGAGGCACATCCTAAGTTACAATACTGTTACAGAAACAAGAAATGAGAGTAATTTCAAAACCTGATAATTTATCCCTAATTAAACCGCACTCTTAATTCAAAACATGATAATTTTTCCCTAATTAAACCTCACTCTTAACTCAAAACTTGATAATTTATCCCCAATTAAACCTCACTCTTATTCAAAACATGACAATTTACTCCTAATTAAACCTCACTTATATTTCTTAATCAAAGCATTGAATCAACAGGTCCCAAACTGCAAATCTCTAACTGCATTTGGAACTTTCCTACTTTACTTGTCTTGAATCGGATCTATTAAATGGCTCTGGATCTAGTATAAATATAATAGTATATAAAATTTCCCTCCCATTTAATGCAGAATTAGAGATGACTTGAGAAAGAACTTCACATTTTCCTACAATTTTTATGAGGTCAAGTGTCTGTTTTACAATCCTAGTCTATATGATTGCATTGCACTTATTTTTTAAAAAGCATTTTCATGAAAACTATTCATATAAGAAGAAATTTCATATTTTCTGTTAAATATTTTTCATTGTGCAGCTTGTGAAGAGGCTTATGACCTAGACAATGACAACTTCAACTCGTGTGATGAAGGCTGTGGCCAGGAGTTCTTGCTCTCCAAGAAACCTTCTCCTAACCTGGTGAGGATCATCTCTAAGTTTCCAGGACATTGCAGTTGAAAAAATTTAATTCTTCTGCTTTATTAGATGCTATAAAATAGAAGTGTCGGCACTGAAGAAATAGGCCCGTGGCCTGTTGCCAATTCTTGAACTTCTCATGATTTGATTCACAAGGGATCCGGCCTTTGGAACCCGATCTTTCCATAACTGACGATTGATTGAGATAGCTGCTGGACTTATTGGCCTGGTCTGTAATTTGCTAGGCAATTCAAGACTGAAAATATGCTCCTGCATAGCTTTGTCTAGTCTGTTCTTGAAGGCTATACTTCCAGTTAGATTAAATAACTTATACAATGGAGGATTATTCTATGTGGATGCTTAACAGTCAAATATTACCAAATATTCTCAATTTAAGGATTCTTCACTGTGGGTCAGTATGGAAGAGAATCTAGTTTCCCACTAGGCTAGAACTGCCCTGTACCAATCTCCACAATACTGTATACTGTCAACCTGCCTTGGGGGAAGACTTTGGACCAACCTTAGTTAAATATGGTATATAGTTGAAGAATATGGGTAGGTGGAGTGTCTTCTATCTTCACTGCCAGTCTTGGATGGTACTCCCTCAGAGTTTGCTCCCTCACATCTGCTCTTGATCTTTTATTATCATTTGCTAATATTTGAAGGCAGAAGCCCAGTTGGGTCCTGAAAGGTTCATTGAAAATATAGAGGCAGCTTGCCTTGCTCATTTAGGTAGCTTTTGACAATAGTAATCGTTAGGTGCATAGGCTGGAGAGTGCAGTTATAATCACAACACTGCACAAATTTTTGTCAGCAATGCTCTCCTCCTGTGCACTCAAAACAAAAACAGTTTGGCCCCAGGCTCCATAACATAATTTCCATGCACTCTGTTGAAAAAAAAAACAGACTTGCCTATGCCACACTGTTTGACAGCTTTGGTTATACTTGTTTTCTTGTCTCGTTAAATCTACACCTCTTATCTACTTCACGCCCTGTATAGTTCCTGTAGGTGTGGGAGTCATTACGGCACTTGCGGATCTTAGCTGTCTTATTGTATAGTCTATTGTAGGTAGGTAGATACGGCATATAGCTGGTAAATTCACTGGTTAATAGGCACCAACAAAAAGTAACCTGGAAAATAAATAGAAAGCATTAATATATTTTAGTAACCCTTGCAAAGCATAGGTTATATGATAACATGGGGTTTTTAATTATGATACGATTCGGTCTAAGTTATCCCATTTGGGATCAATTAGACTGGTCCAAGTCGCCCCATTTGAGGTCAATTAGACTGGTCCAAGTCATCCCATTACACAATAGATTATCAAGAAAGCATTTATATTTGAATGTTCATTTAACTGCTGTAAATTTAAATTCACACAGGTGGACCCTAAACCACAAGCTTCAGCGGAGTCTGGTGAGGATGTCTCAGCTGCAGAGGGTTAGTCCTTGTATACCTCCTCTTAGTGTTAGCATTTTACTTAATTTCCTGCAATATGGCTGCTAATGATCTTGTGCCTTGATGAATATCATGGGGATTATTCTCATGCTACTCCTGCTTTAGTTTACACTAAAAATTTCATGAACCAGTGTGTCTCAGTAATACCGTAGTATATCTTATTCAGATGTGCACTGATTGCTCAAATTGCATTACAATATTATAAACTCAAAGCTTTTGATACCAAATAAAGCTTGGCTATTTACCTTGCATTAAATGCATGCACCACCAGGAAATGTAGAAGGTGAAGGTTTGCAGCTGCACCTGATGACTCCGATCCTGCAAGTGCGGAGAGTTGTGTCGCAGGTCATCGGGTCCATCCACATCCTGAAGCAGTCTATGCTCACTTACTTCCTGCGAGATGACAAGACTGTCATTGCTGTTGAATCTCAGCCTGAGGTGAGTAAACTGTCTTGTTGAATGAGGTGAGTAAACTGTCTTGTTGAATGAGGTGAGTAAACTGTCTTGTTGAATCACAACCTGAAGTGAGTAAACCGTCTTGTTGAATCACAACCTGAGGTGAGTAAACCGTCTTGTTGCTGTTATTTGTTGCGCTATCGTCACACGAGGGGAGGGGGAGGCTCTGGTGGAGGCCGAGGGAGGGACACCAGAAGAGGGGGGAGATGACAAGGGCAGGGAGGGAGGCCAGGAACGCCGCTGCCTGCACGGGACTGTCCCACAGAGAGGAGATGCCGTCTTAGCTTAATTCATTGAAATGCTTAGTCATGTTTGCTGTTGGTAAATGATTATGCTTGCCAGTTGTTAGCCAGAGATTTATTGTGATAGAATGTCCGGCATCAATGTGGTTCAAACTATCAATAATCCATTATTCAGTAGTCCAAGTGATTGTTGCAAGGAAATGATGGATGAAATTCTAGTAATAGTATCCCCCATAATTTTCCAAGGAATATTTTCTTCCACAGGTGTGTTCATCTATTTTTCACTCCAGTTCAACAATGAAATTCAGGTGTAAAATCAAAATAATGATAGTGCAACCAAAGACCAGTTCTATACAGATATAACTGAACCGTTTTGTTGATTGTTGAGGCTCATTAAGAAATGAACTATCATCAATTATATCAGCAATTATAGATGAACTATCGTCAACAATATCAACAATTAAATATGAACTATCATCAACAATATCAACAATTATGTTGAGGCTCATTAAAAATGTACTATCATCAATTATATCAACAATTGAAGCTTAACTATCATCAACTTTATCAACAATTAAAGCTTAACTATCATGAACTATATCAGCAATTAAAGATGAACTATCATCAACTATATCAACAATTGAAGATTAACCGTCATCAACAATAGCAACAATTAAAGATGAACTATCATCAACTGTATCAACAATTAAAGCTGAACTATCATCTATATCAACAATTCAACATGAACCATCGAAGGTGTTGCTGCACCTCAGCCCTAACTGGTCTACACCCTCAGATGATCATCGAGATGGCGCCCCACGGCGGTGAGGACGTGGGACAGTCTGCTGAAGACTCCAGCTTCAACCTCAAGCCTCTCGACGACACCTCTAATGGTCAGCTCAACCATCGTGTCATTGTTATTTAGACATACTTAATTTACTTGTATCTTATTTAGGCTTGCTTAATAAACTTGTATGTATTTAAACTTACTCAATAAACTTGTATCTTATTTAGACTTGACCAATAACCAATAAATTTGTATCTTATTTAGACCTGACCAATAACCAATAAGCTTATATCTTATTTAGTCTTGACTAATAAACGTATATTTTTAAATATATTTATCAATTGATTGCTATTGACCAGTAAATTTTTCTCAGCCTTCTGTCCACTGACATGAACTTGTTCGGTATGTAATTGAATTAAATATTACTATTAGCAGGCAAGATATTTAATATACTTGAAGTTATTGCAATCAGCTGCACAGTGAATTTTGATGCTGAATTTCCTGTCCTATGATAATGCTTCGACAATGTTCGAAATATTGTAGAATATATGTGTAATTCATTATTTCTAATTAAGAAATATTAATTCCTAATTTCAGCTTTTTCAGCTAGAATCCATTGTTTTTTACTGTAAACCTGGTAAATCAATTGATCAGGAAAACTATTTATTATATATGTTCCTCTTAACCTGAAAACCCTTAGTTATTTTAATAAAAAACTTTAGGCTAAAATTTATTGCCGTGTGCAGAAATTAGCTCGTGGAACTTGGATAGCCTGAACCCATTCCAAAGCCGACAAGTGGAGGACTCTGAAGCAGCTGCTGCAGAAGGCGTGAGCCGCGTGTCCCTGCAGAGCAGCAGCCACTTCGCCTACCTCCTGCACCTCCTCCTGCTGCTGGCTGCCATCGCGCTCTCCCTTCTCGCCCTCAGCTACTGCCTTGCTGTCGCCAGACACCAGCGACGCAAGGAAGCTAAAGCCGTTAGTTCTTGACAATGATGCTTCAGCCTATACCTATAGTATATTATATGCTATATTACTGCTCGCCCTCAGCTAGGTACTGCCTTGCTGTCGCCAGACACCAGCGACGCAAGGAAGCTAAAGCTGTTAGTTCTTGACAATGATGCTTCAATTTATTGCCTGAAAATGCTCAGTGATGAGCGAAACGCGTCGCCGGATTTACTTAACCTTCCATTTGGACAAATTTTAAGACTTGTTGACCTCACTATTGTACCTTTTATCAGAAAGCTTGAGATATTAAAGTCGAAGGAAGTTCTTAATTTAACAGACATTATTCTTAACCAAACATATATTATAATATAATACTAAAATTACTGCTCGGAACACGGATGTCCAAGCTGTTCATTTCAATGTCTGTCCTCAGGGAATTATACAGCAGGGATCATAGGTCTATGTCTTCAAACCAATGTCTGTGTTGGGGAATTGTGAGTTTAATTTTATCCTAGGCTAATAAAAATCGCCGATTTGATGCCTTCATTGTGTGATGGATATAGATGGACATCTTTGGGGTTGAAACAGAAACCAAGCCTGTAGTGTTGGAAGTTCCTGTTGTTACACGTATTCTGTTAATCATCAGCCTTGATCTTCTTCAGATAAAAATCCCATTCTCCTTGAGTATGTCTGAAAAAAATGTATTGGATATATTTGTTTCAATTAATAAAGTTCTTAGAACATATCCTACGAAATTTTCATGTAATAGAAGTTTTCAGTTGACGCGATCTTCTCTGCTCGATAATTTATGAATCTGCTGAGAATCATCACTATTTTAATATAATGTTGAATAACTATAATCACTATTAATATAATGTTGAATAACTAATTTAATATAATTTAATAATATAATGTTGATTGCAGGCGAACCTGGCGACGGCCCTGCAGGTGGAGCCTCTGAAGCTGGTCCGCCCCGAGGACCTGACGAAGCTCTGCCTTCTGGAGGATGAATGCCAGGCTCCTCCGCTGCCTCAGAAGCACGACTTTGCGCTCACTCACGCCTCTGTGTGATGTATGGCGCCTGTGTCGTCTGTGTAGGGTCATGTGTGCTGCTGTCTGTTTTGTGTGATGTGTGCTGCCGTCTGTTTTGTGTGATGTGTGCTGCCGTCTGTTTTGTGCGATGTGTGCTGCCGTCTGTTTTGTGTGATGTGTGCTGCCGTCTGTTTTGTGTGATGTGTGCTGCCGTCTGTTTTGTGTGATGTGTAATATCCATTTACATGTTACATGCCGTATGTGTACTATGTAGTGTGATGTGATGAGTTATCTGGCTTGACCGCGATCCGACACACTTAGTTCTGATGTGTTCCAATCGTGATAAGGTTTGTGTTCGTGATGCCTTGTGCAGATAACGTGTGAATGTTTCTTCTGTGTGTTGTGTCCTACACAGACACGTGTGTTGTGGCCTACACAGACACGTGTGTTGTGGCCTACACAGACACTTGCGTCGTGAGTGTTTGAGTTTGTGTGATACGCATCCGAGGAGTGTCACGCCCCGAGGTTGTGTCTAGAAATGGTTTTCTGATTCCTCGTCTGATTTCTTCTGTTTAACTTCAAAATTTGTGCTTTTATACAAATCTCGCTGAATAAATGCAAATTATTTCAGTTTTCTCTCTGAAAAATTTTCTATAGTATTGCAGCATCTGAGATTTTCAGGATGCAGAATCGTTCATGTTTGATTTTTGTTGTCAACCAGCAACTGAAGTTATTTCAAGTTGGGGAAGTAACGGTCAAAATGTTTAGTTCATTATCAAAATTGGAAGTGAATGAGAGATAAGCCATGAGAAGTTAAAGAAGGCTCGTAAATGATTCAGAACGTTGAAATATTGAAATGTGCAAGGTACATTCTGGGCTGTGAAGAGCATTTGATGCATTTGAATTGAATAATTTAAAGTTTATATCTTCATCCATAAACGCAGCAGAAAAGTAACTGAAGCTCATAAATTTATTTACGTGCGCGGGTAACTGCACGGGATATGAAACGTAATGAAGAAATTGAAATGATGCCTCTTGTGTTGGGCGTGTGCCTCGTTTCTAGTGCCTTATTAAGAATGATATGCTCGCTCCTTTTGCTTCTATTGTCGCTTTGCTTTAGATTCACTTTGCGATCATTTGTTAGCAGGCAGATTATCTTGTGTGTCTTGAAGATGATCAATAATGACGGTGATCAATGATATCGCTAGTTGATTTATCAATATCAGTGATTCGCTTTCCTCAAAATCTCTCGTCTGTTAACCGTTCTCTCTGTTGTCAATCCGCGCGTGTTCGTAGCGACTTGTTCCTGGACCTCAGTGAGTCTCATTGGCTTCCATTTACATGCAAAAAACGTAAAAATATTGGGTTTCGTTTACATCTGATAAACGGTGAGACCAAAAACCGTTTTGATCCGTGTTCTAGTTCAAACTTATTTTATGGCTATTAAATTTGGAGTATTTGTTGAAGTTTCGATTAAAATGAGGATTTCCGATCGTAGTTTCTTTTTGCTCTGCTCAGAATAGCTGCAATCGAGGATGAGGTGTCGTATTTTATATACAGTCTTCCACGTTTAATTAGTTAAATGCTGCTTGTCTGTATTAGAGGACAGCAATAGTTTTCAGTAGTCAGTAGTGATTTAATGCTTATTTTATTCCGAGGAATTGTCTTTACACAGAATAGGTTTTTAAGGAATTTGCCTGTTTTAACGAGACTTTTTTTATCACTATCGTATTCCCCAAGTTTACTTTTAGTTCGAATTTTTTAGGGGAAATGGTTCTGTATTTTTTACATTACCCTCCTTATCGTGCCTGCACTGTCGGCTCTCAAACATTTATGTATGGCTCTTAGTTTTCATTGCTGTGTTCATTCCGAGTTGATTAATATTGACATTTTCAAATAAATTTTTCTGTCGTCACGTACTTCTCGCTCTCACTTTCAAATTAATTTTCTCGATGATGTGTCGCTCATTCTGAACTTTTTCCCCCACACAAATCCTCTTTTTCATTTAAATATTTGAAACTCTAAATTAATTATGTAGGAAATGTGCTCTGCGCAGTATGTTGCACGTTGTGCCCAAGAGATCAATATTATCTTGTATTTTATTTTATTATCAGCCATTATGTGCCACTGTTATCTCTAGCCACGCTTTACTTTCAGTTATCTCCTTATGTTCTATATCATTGTGTTTTGCTTGCGATATCTTATGGCGCAGTTTTCTTTATGTTTAACATTCCTATTTGGCTTTAAACGTTATTGACGTTCTATCGTTACGTTGAAATTCTTACCTTTATACAGAGCCAATTGGTTTGTCATATAACCAATTGTAACAAATTGCCAGTTAGAGCTTATCTGCCGATATGGTATAACATGGATTAAAGATCATAGCATCTGAGCTGGGGAATATTATCTGTATTATGTGAGATTTCTTTTTTTTTCTCATTACATTAACTGCCCCATTATTCTGGTATCGAAGCGAGATTCATTTAATCTTTGACAAAGTAATTCCTTTATGAGACTAGAACCAGGCAATTTCCTACTGACTTTGAAATAAATCCAACTTTATGGACGTAAAAGTAATGCTTTTGTTATTATGAAACAGAATTTATTTGAGATTTATGTGTACATGGCGACTAGCCTACGGTAGTTTCTGTACCTCGACTTGTTTCTTCGTATAACCTGATGCTTATTAAGTGTTAATTGAACATTAACTATCAACTTCCCAGAGAAATGTACGTAAATTTAGTATTTGTGACAATTTTCAGCCTGATGATTTTAAAGGTAAGAAATATTTTCGGATTTCTCTACCAACGTAGAAAATTTCCATAGTCCGGTAAATGCCCTTTTGGCATTTCTCTTTATCATGGAATCCCTTTAAGATGTTTCTAGGTTCAGTTTGTATCTTATATTCTGCGTGATGGCTTATACATTTATTGGTCTTCATATTATATATCTTTACTTTAACGTCGTATTTTTCTCCTAATTTGATTTGAATTAAGCTATTCACCGTACGTGATTTTTTGCGATGCGTCTCAACATGAAAGATTTAGCGTAGATGTTGTTCAGGTTGGTTGGAGGGTTTTGCAACATCGTCTTTCTGGAGACTTAAACATCGGCGCGTCGAGTAATAATTGAGACCTTCCACCTCTATGGTGATGTTCATCTTGACTTTCGGTGCGAGATAGCTAAATAGCTGAAGCGCTGGTAATCATTTGGCCACTAAACTAACTAACTTGCTTAACCCTCTATCGCCTGACACGAGTAACCGGAGAAATATTGTCGCAAGCCTACTTCCCAAAAAGGATACGATCTAGTGAGCGCAAAATGACTTGCACTGATGGTTGCCGCCACGTACGACAACTTTAAAATGTTCTCTGTTGCGTGCAAACTTCTTCATGTTGCGACACTCAATAGTTTACGTATAAGTTAAGTTGAAAGTTATGTTCGCTGAGACTGACATATGGCGGTAGAGGGTTAAGTAGACGTAGTGACATGCTGCTCATCATTGTTGTGTGGGTTTAGCTTGAAAATCAGTCTGTTATTTACCACCTAACCGCGCTATGGCATCCAACCGCTGTGACGGTGACAATAATCAAAGCGTCTGCAATTCAAAAATTATTCCAATATTATCCGGCCTTACTAAATGATTCACTTCTATGTTGAAGCTTATGTCTAACGCGTATTCGTTCCAATTAAATCTGGTGTTTGATGAAGATTTCGATTTTACTTCATTTAAATGAAAAATTATCTGGAGGCCTTATTTTCCTCGGTATGTGGAGCCTTAATATTATAATGTAATATATGTAGTAGGCCGTATAGGCTCTTCGGCACACTCAAAATATTTTCAAGGAGATTATTTCATTTTTGAAGGAGTAGTGATCGGTCAAGTAGCGCGAGTTGGCATGTGAGTTCGGAGAAGTGTCGATTCTGTCGAAACTAGCATCGCAATAGCAGGCGCTCTCGAGCTCTCAAACGCGTTACATTCTTAACCATTCCTCATTTCAGTGATAGCGGCATCCACCATACCTTAGTGTGCTGACTCTGCTCTTATTTCTGAAGGCAGGCTCGCTTCCTGCTTCTATTTTAACCCTCAACCGCCGGTTGTCACTCTCCGGGAACATAACTTTCAACTGAAATTATACGTAAACTACTGAGTGTAGCAACCTGAGGACGTTTGTACGCAACAGAGAACATTTTAAAGTTGTCGTACGTGGCGGCAAATTATACGTAAACTATTGAGTGTAGCAACCTGAGGACGTTTGTACGCAACAGAGAACATTTTAAAGTTGTCGCACGTGCCGGCAACCATCAGTGCAAGTCATTTTGCGCTCACTAGCAACTTAGTCTTTTTGGGAAGTAGATTTGTGACAATATTGGTTCGGTTACTCTTACTCGTGTCAGGAGGTAGAGGGTTAAAACCGGACAGGGTTTGTTGGAGACATTGCATAGAGTATTTTCTTTCACCCAAAACAAGCTCCAGTACTGATTCGGGTGGAAACTACGTTTCCAATCTTTTTCACAGTTATGCGTGTTCTCAGAGCAATCTTGACATGGCTAAAGTAAGGATGTAATTCAGGGATTAAATAAATGCACGGTTACCGAGTAACAATCAAATCTATACTTGGTCAAGTTGACTCGTGTATAGCATGTTGTGCCCGTCAGCAGACGATGTCCACGTTTTCTAAAGACGGTATTCGTAGAAAACTTTAAAAGATTTTACAGCATATATTCAGTAACAGAAGCAAACACTTGTAATAATTTAGTAATAGTAAAAAATATAAACCTACGATTAGTGAAAACGAGTTAAATTGCAGAAAAAAATTTACCTCTGAGATGAGTCTTGATTTGCTTGCAAGTAAACGAGTTTAATAAATGGGCAATTTCCCAATTGTTCGATTCGGTAGCCTGTGAAAGAAAACGGTAAAAAAAATTTTCAAATCATCACAGAGTGAGGAAACCAATTTGTGGGACTAAAAATCTTTTTATGATTATACTGGGATTTTTGAAGAACACGCTTGACGTGACCAACTCAACGCAATGCATAGTGTATAAGCTTCATTCCAATGCATAAATCGTGAATGGCTAATAATTGAACGTTAATTATTTCTATACTAATATACTAGGAACCATAGTTTTAAAAGAGAAAAACATTGTAATGTTGAAAAATTGACGAGATACTATTTTGCAAAAATACGCTATTATCTTAATTAAACCTAGAATGATCTAAAATTAATAAAGCTTTCTTACAGAAAATTAAAATTAATCTGGATTAATACTACAAGTCATTTAGTTTAATTACAAAAAGCTTCTACCTATTAACGCTCATACTGTTCACATGAAAAGTAGAAAACTCGTTTCCAACTGCTTCTTGGGACGACAAATTTAAAAGATTAAAAGCTTACAAGTGAATTTACGTTAAAAATTGTGCAAATGTGAAGTGTTAATTGAAATTATGTCAACGCGAATCAAATTTAGAAAAAAATTGTAAACGTTGCCTGCAGGGTTTACAAGAATACTTTTGGCGAATCAAACTTGGAAAAAAGTTGTAAATGTTATCGACATGGTTTACCTACAAAAATACTTTTCTATTCACATCGCTGTTTAGACATACGAAGGCGGATATTATTCAGGTATCTTGTAATCTCATCGATTATATGCAGCATAAAATTTATTCATTCAATGAAATCAAAATAATATAGAGAGCGCAGCTACTCTGAAATATTGCCAAGAGTTTAATTGAAGTTAGAAAACATAGAGATTAAGTTTAAATTGCATTGCACGAGGTAAGGTTCTAAATTAGACACAAATATACAGATATTACACGGAGCTAAATTTCTGATCTAATGAGCAGAAATTTGCTAAATTTTCAGACCTACCTCACGCCTTCAGCCATGAGGGAAAAGCTCATGGCTGACTTGAAAATTTAACGGGGATCAGAGAGCGATCATTACAATGGGCCTATAACTGTTGTGTACAAACAGGTAAAAAATTGTATTTTGTATTGTATCACAGCTAATTCTTACAATCTATAGAACTTCTGACGAAAAACTAACAAACATTCCAACAAAGATTCCCATCAGACACCTTAGAACACCCAAGCCACACTGAGTCGGATCGAAAAACTGCAGTTTTTCGGCTTTCAAAAAAGCTTCATTGAGATAAATCACTTAAAAATTACATTTAAAGAATAAATGACGACGTAACACACCCGAAAATAAGTGGCAGAAATTTAGATGCAACATGTACGCGTGAAAAGATATTAATAAAGCAATTGATATATAATACCGATGCCATGAAATGTTTAGCAAGTATTAGAAAAAAATATAACAAATCGTTACTAAATCCCCGAATGCCTAAATTATAAACGCACTGGACAATAAAATAACTATATATAAAATGAATGGTGAAAAACTATTTTAACCAACAAAAAGGCAGCATATACATCATCATTGTTATCATTATGTCTAGAGTTACGTGCATACAAGAGACATACATAAACAGCATTTCTATTTAAGTATGAATGAACGAGCTTAGCATTGTTGGGTTCTTCACATATATGCTTAGTATTGCTACAGTTGTATTGATACTAGCGAAGTGCTGAGTATTGCTGCATCTACATTGATACCACCGAAGTGAAGAGTATTGCCACATCTGTATTGATACCACAGCAGCTCTGAGTATTGCCACATCTGTATTGATACCACAGCAGCTCTGAGTATTGCCACATCTGTATTGATACCACAGCAGCTCCGAGTATTGCCACATCTGTATTGATACCACAGCAGCTCTGAGTATCGCCACATCTGTATTGATACCACAGCAGCACTGAGTATTGCTACATCTGTATTGATACCACAGCAGCTCTGAGTATTGCCACATCTGTATTGATACCACAGCAGCTCTGAGTATTGCTGCATCTGTATTGATACCACAGCAGCACTGAGTATTGCTACATCTGTATTAATACAGACACGTAGGATATATAAGGATATACGTAAATCTTATATTCGATGCAAGCGTTCGCTTATGCGTTGAGAGACATGGTTTTCATGGAATCATGGTTTTCATTGCAAATTAAATAAAATTTTACATTTGTCACCATAGTAGACTGGCAGTATCTGCTTGGCGCAGTTTCTTGTAAATTATTGAACAAAAATGTTACGTATAAATTATTCGAAGTAAAAACCTATATTTAATATTGAAATAATCAAAACATTAATGAAGAAGTATTTAAATCGAGCGCTAAACTAAAATAAAATTTCAAAAGAGTCAATAATTAGAATTGAAGATGACAATACTAAAAATTGTAGAAGAACATGCATATATAAAGCTAGTAAATAATAATGTTTAAAATTGTTTAATGTTCTAATCACTATAACTTAGAAACATGGAAGAGACATTTGGATTGTGAGGTTGTGAATATAATTATTTGACCACACTTGCTTCATTAATGCAAATCACATATGAATTCAATCTTTTTTGTGCAATACGGTAATGAAACACACGGCAATAAAAAGTTTGAATAACAATATTCAAATATTATTTAATGCTCAATATATAAAATAACACGTGATGGTAAACGATTCGTGCGTCGGTAGGAACTTACAACCAAGAAATTACAACCAAATCCTCACGATAAAACTAACCACCGAACACGCGATAAGATATCAGTGCTTCTCATTCAGACGTTGACGCAGCCAGTGGAAGCTCGTGACGTAAAGCGGTGCTTTTTCCTTCACTGCTTCGCGCTCAACGTTTCCCCCAAAACCTGTACAAGAAATAAGTTTCAAAATGTATCATCGTGATACGTATTAAATTTTCCCATTCCGCGTGTTTACAAAATGTATCATCGTGTTTAGTATCAAATTTTCCCATTCCAAGTTTTCACAAACTGCATCATCGTGATCATTATCAAATTTTAATTACTTACATTCAAAGTTTTTATAAAATATTATTGTTCATATTCAAAAATAAATGAGGAAGAATATTGACTATATGTATGAGTAATAAGATTAGAGTAGGGTAAACACGTATTGAGATGCGGGTTCGATCCCAGCTACCTGCGATATTTTCTAGTTAGATTCGGCGAGGAGGCCGGGCGGTTAAGCAAAGCAAAAATTATCGCAGTTATTTGCGTGTTCGAGACCGCAACAAGCTGTGAATTTTCTGCAATGTTAAAAATCGGCGACAGACCTACGGCCTAATGAACGCTAAAACTGTTTTGAGCGCATATGCTCATTTATGGAAAAAATTCCCAATTGTACTCGTCATTTCCGTCCGTCTGTCCGTCCGTCCGTCCGCCCGTCCGTCCATGACTTCACGCTTTCGTTGACGAGAAAATGCGCTCTCTGTCACTCACTGCATTGAGTACTGAGTTATATATTTTTATTATTATTGAGGCGCGATGGAAAGTTTTCACTATTCGAATTATGAGGCAAACAAAAGGACAGAGGACACTCACCAATGAAGGCATGGGCAGGCGGACAGGCCTCCATGTCCGTCATGCCATCACCGACCATCACAAGACACTCGTAGCCATGCTTACGCAGCAGCGCTGCCACCACCTCCGCCTTGCCTCCAGACCTGCTCGTCGGCTGAGACTCGTCGAAGCCTGCGTACTGACCTGCGTGGATAGTGGATATTACTGGATATTAGTGGTATTAGGGGATATTAGGGATATTAGTGGACATTAGGGATATTAGTGGATATTAGGGATATTAGTGAATATTAGGGATATTAGTGGATATTAGGGATATTAGTGGATATTAAGGATATTATTGGATATTAGGGATATTAGTGGATATTAGAGATATTAGTGGATATTAGGGATATTAGTGGACATTAGGGATATTAGTGGATATTAGGGATATTAGTGGATATTAGGGATATTAGTGGATATTAGGGATACATGCTGGATATTAGTGAGCCATACGGGATATTAGGGATAGATGCTGGATATTAGTGAGCCATAAGGGATATTAGGGATACATGCCGGATATTATTAGGACATACTTTAATATTGAGGCATGCGATATTAGGGACACATCCGATATTACTAATATGTTCGATATTATTGAAATATACATTATTATTGAGACGAACTATGTACTTGCAGCATAAGACATTATTGTGACGTAATTAAGTCGGGTTAAAATTTGCCACTTTTTGTACAATGTTTCTATGGCAATGCCGTGATGATGCAGGAGTTCATGAATACTGTGGTACCGAAAAAAAATTACGAACTGATACAACATACGTTGCTAACGGCTTAATAAGGTTTCAACAACTAGTTCATTAATTTCAAACTATTAATAAGTGAATAAAAGAGTGAATTACCATCCACATGGCGCAAGAAAAGAACGATCTATGAATTCATGCAATAAAGAGAAGATAATGAATACAAAATGAATATAAAAATGAATGAATAATGAATATAAATAATGAACATAATGAATATAAAAAAAAGAATCTCTATAATAAATAGACACCAATTAATTAAAAATACATACTTACCATCAAAATAGAACTGTAGTCTATTGGCGATTACATTTTCTCGCGGGATGCCGAGTTTTTCTGCGACGGGGGAAATGAGCGACATGAACCCGCCGGAGACGAGGTACACGTCCGTCTCCCGCGACTGCAGCTCCGACACTAGTTCTCTGTGGGGGGATGCCTTATTATTTATATAGTAAAAAATATAACTCAGTACTCACTGCAGTGAGTGACAGAGAGCGCATTTTCTCGTCGACGAAAACGCGAAATCACGGACGGACGGACAGACAGACAGACGAATGGATAAGGCGAGAACAATAGTGCATTTTTTCCATAAATGAGAAAATGCGCCAAACATATTCATTTAAATATAACTAAATACAATCTCATGCCATTGTAAGTTTTCATCTCACAGTAAATGGTACCACTTCGAGCCAAGAGGTTAGCGAAACATATCATGTATATATAATTAAAGCACCGCGCATATCACTCATACAGTTCAAGATCTGAATTCTGATCCATGCAAAAAGGTTTAAATTATATGAAACTTGCCTCACGTGCTACCCTCACTTATTCACGTGCTACCCTCACTTATTCACGTGCTACCCTCACTTATTCACGTGCTACCCTCACTTATTCACGTGCCTCACGTGCTACCCTCACTTATTCACGTGCTACCCTCACTTATTCACGTGCTACCCTCACTTATTCACGTGCCGCAAAAAGTACACACTCAACCTATTGTAATTGTACAAAAAAAACACATCGCTTGCATCAGTCACCCATCACTCACTTGCTGCCGAGGGTGAGAAGGGGTGAGTGATAACTTGGTGGGTGAAGTTTTGTGTACCCGCCACTCATCACTCACTTGATGCCGGGGTGGGTGAAGGTGGGTGATGCCAAGATTCATCCACAACTCACTTGATGCCGGGGGTGAGTATATATGTATGGGTGATGTCCATATTCACCCATGACTCACTTGATGCTGGGGGTGAGTATATATGTATGGGTGATGTCCATATTCACCCGTGACTCACTTGATGCCGGGGGTGAGTATATATGTATGGGTGATGTCCATATTCACCCATGACTCACTTGATGCCGGGGGTGAGTGATGGTGGGTGAGCACGGATGAACTTCTGCACGATGTCCTTCTCAGGACGCAGGAGGTTCAGGCGCGCGCGTAGCGCCTCTCTGAACTCCACTCCACCGCGCATGGCTTCTTGCGTGCTGTAATATAATATAATATTATATGATACAGTATAATATAGTATAATATAATATGTTATAATGTAATATAAGATAACATAGTACAATAAAATATAATATATTATAATGGAGTCAGCTATTGGCATGTAGTCGATTCTTAATCGGTCGGCAATATCGAGATACAGTTTCATGTGTTTAAAAAACTGTGTGCAATTTAGTGGAAATTTACGGCTCAAGTTTTTTCTACTGTAGACAGTGAATGTATACTGTCAAGCAGGCACTGAATATAATGAATATACTTGTCATTGCATTCACAAGAGACATTCATCACCCAGTACATTTTCGGCTGAATTCTTTTCTACTGTAGACAGTAAATGTATACTCTCAAGCAGACACTGAATATAATGAATATACTTGTCATTGCATTCACAGGGACATTCATCACCCACATCTTCTGGACGATGTCGCCCTTGCCGCAGAAGTTTGCCAGCTCGTCAAGCCCCTCGTCGGTGATGACGGTGCTGTCCACGTCGAAACAAACTGCGTCCGCCGCCCGCCACGCCTCCAGCGTCTCTGCCGTGCTCATGTCGCCTGCGAGGGTAAGAAGACAGTGAATAATTATTATACTTGCAACTTACCATATTATTGTTTGTAGGTTGATGGATATTATCCATTTGTAGGTTGATGAGTTTTTGCGGCATTTTTACCATAAACTTATTCGAGAGAGTCAATGATTTGGCTGTTCTTCCACCAAAGCTTCACCAGGAATTTGATGTTTGACCTGGCGTCGATTTCGGCAGATTCTTTATTCTTTATTCACGCAGGAGCATACAAAAAAATTCATGTCCCTAACGAAATTTAGAGTCGCCCCAGGTTCTGGTAATCCAAATCAGAAGCTGCCGCGTCTGTAAATTTTACATCGCATGACCGTCCTTGGCAAGGCGCTAAGCATCGCATGACCGTCCTTGGCAAGGCGCTAAGCATCGCATGACCGTCCTTGGCAAGGCGCTTATAGCATCACATGACCGTCCTTGGCTAGGTGCTAAGCAGCGTAATAATTTTTCAGATTAATTAGTTAAATCTAGATGTATATATAAACGTGTATCAATTAAATTAGGCTTATAAATTAACAACTTAATGTGTGTCATCTCGCAAAGTACAGTAAATTTTAGGCCTATATAAAAAATTTTCAATTTCTAACTAGCATTTGAACCCAACATTGCTCAAGAAGCGTTCTCGCCATATCGCCTCAATTCTATGGCACGAGCAACAATAAACCAGAGAATCTTTTTAATTGTAATTTACAATTCTAAAATAATTTATTTCGCATTTTGGTTCAAATTGGATTAAGTTCTCCCCATCACCGCGGGTGTTCTAGGTTGCAGTGGGAATTCAGTTCAAGAAATTTAAAAAAAAACTAAAAACATTCAGAGTGTTGGGCTTAAAATATATAGTATGGGTTGGGAAAAACTGAAATGTATTGTATGTGCCTTGAGTGTCAAGCATGAATTTTCGTGTCCACGACAGTGCCAAGAAAGTATGAGCTATGAATTGAGGCATGAATATGTGTACCCTGAATGAATTCTTCACGAGTATTTGTGCGCCGAATAAACCACGAATGTAACACACAAGTAATACATGTGCACTTTGAATTTACAATGATTGTATACACCCAAAATGTATCTCGAATGTGCCATGAGTGAACTCCAAACGTACTCAAAATTTACACGAACTTACAACGAATGAACACATAATAAAAAGAGAATGTACCACGAATGTATTACGAGTACACCACGAATGTTTCCCGCAAGTACCACGAATGTACCTCGAATATAACTCAATAATGTACACCCAATGTAGCACGGATGCACCTAGAATATAACCTGACAGTACCCTGAATGTACTATGAATGTACCCTGACTGTACCCTGACTGTACCCCGAATGTACCACCCTGAAGGTCGCCGACGTATGCAGCTGCTCGCGCCAAAACGAAAGTGCGCGCGTCCATGAGAAATAAAAATAATAATACGACCGTTTCACCACGAAAAAAATCGGAGGATAAATCTAAAAAAATATCAGAATAAACCACAGGATGAATATATTAAAAAACTTGAATAAGTGAAATGACGCGGCATGAAACGAAGTGAATGAAAAGATTATAAAATAATAAGGATGACGCATGACTAAAGCATGTGCAACTGAGCCAAAAAAAACGGCGCGTAAATAGAAAGTCAACAGGACACCAACAGGTGGTGAGTGATGACTGCACCAACAGGTGGTGAGTGATGACTGCACCAACAGGTGGTGAGTGATGACTGCTGCACCAACAGGTGGTGAGTGATGACTGCACCAACAGGTGCTAAAATATTTCAACTTGAAATATTTCTAACTCACCTTAAATTTTTTTCTTTTTTTTTTTCGAAAAACTAGTCAATTTATATATAGATAAAATCGGATGATGCGATGATGGGTTAGAAGAGGGAACGAGGGGAGGGGTGAGGGGGAGTTAGAAGGGGTGAGGGGAGGGGTGAGGGGAGTTACAGGGGATAAGGGGAGGGGTGAGGGGTGTAGGGGGTAAGAGGGAGCGAGGGGCGCATATCATGCAGTGTGCGCATGATGTTGCCATGTATGGACGAGCTCGTAATTTCGCACACCGGCGGCGAGAGTGTAGACCTGGGCATAATTATACGTTCACACGCACACATGCACACATACACACACACTAAACACGCACATGCAAACAGAAACGCACATATGTTGATACGCAGATACTCACACAGGAAGACAGACATACACAGAAACAGACATTCACACGTGTTCGTATGCATACACACACAGGCATTCATAAGTATACATGTGCATTGATCATGCATGAAGTGGCTATGAACGTGTACAGTACACACTGTCAGTCTAGCCTCACTATATCACTTCTTGCTCTCGGTCTAGACTCACTATATCACTTCTTGCCCTCAGTCTAGACTCACTATATCACTTCTTGCCCTCAGTCTAGACTCACTATATCACTTCTTGCAATCAGTCGAAATTAGTACCTACTTCGATTAATATATTTATAAAAAATTATGAAAAGAACGTAGAAAATGTGAATTTCTCCTTCCTCATTACTACATTTAACGCAAACGTTATATTTAACATATAAAAGTCAAAAAAATTTTACAAGTACTGGATATTCCCATAGCTTTTAGCGATAGATATTATAGTCTTTTTACAATACATACTAGATCTTCATATACATATGGAGCTACTATATACATATACCAAAAATACAGAAACAAAGAAAACACCGCTTAAATCTAGTGTATCATCAATGAAAACTTGCTATTCAAGTAGACTAATGATCATATACGTACTATCATGTACATAGTTGTATGTATATTTATAGGCAGAATTATTGGGCACTCGCAGTACACATGGTCGGTATAGGCCTAGTCGTGAAGATATAGCGCGGCCTATAGGCCTACCTAGACGCTTGTCGCGTCAGCAACTGGCATTGCACGGGGATTATTTTCATGTATTATAAAAACGCAAATTACAGTCATTATATTATAGTAACATTAACCTTATTATATAGAAATATTAAGCCGTATATTCCTATACTGTGAGTATTATTTGGCTTTATATATCGCAATGCTCAGTCTAAAATTAAATCAAATTGAAAGGGGGTTAAAATTATATTGAGCTTAACACCTGAATACGTAATGAACAAAAATTGATGGATAAATAAATATTCATAGCCACGCACTGCGAATTTCGTTGGTAAAAGTTCGATCGAATTCCTGCATGAATAACTTTTCTGAGCTGTTATTTTTCATTATGAAATAAAACATGTACAAGTAGCTGCCAAGCAAATTGGTTAACACGTTGACTCCGTTGACTACCACGAAATGTATTTCTCCAGGACGTAGTGGTACATAATTCAGGTTGCCTAAAATTGGCCAAATCCGAGAAAAAAAGGCCAAAAAAGGCCTATTACTCAATATATACTAATTTATTTGTAGGTTCCGCTATAAAAATTCCCTTTATTTTATTTTTGCAGTAGTTAAAATTTAATTCGGAAGTACCCCTATCATAAATTTTAGCCGGCCAACGCAATTGAGAAAAACTTAATCACGGGATTTGTCCGGAAAAAATGACCGTCTGGCAACCCTGAAAGACAGTACAAAAAAATGAAATAATAGTACAAGATGAAGCAATCGTAGTCAACGTGTTAAACATGAATGTGGAAATGAAGTTCAACATAATGACATAATTCACATTTATGAAGCATTTTACCAAAACGTCATAAAAAATGTAACTGAGTTTACTTAACAATAGATGATTAAGATGAAGAACAAAGGCATGTCATTTGGTAAACAGGCTCGAGCGAACCACAATGATTACTTTACATATAAAATTAAAAAAGGGGCAAATATAAGTGAGGTAATAAATGGTATAGGCAAAATGCAATAAAAATTACAGGGAAGTACGTGCAAAAAACAGCAGCTGACCACCGCTAGGTTATGGTTTCATCAGGTGGTCGGGCCACAAAAAACTTCATCAAAAACTCTGATAAAAACTCGATCCTAAAATCATTAGATTGAATAGGTAGATTAGAACTCATTCATTGTAGTGGAATTCATTCATACGTTTGGCTTATAAGTACATTATGTATTCTATTCATTTTATTAATTCTCTCAACCATATATGAATACATTTCTATTCAGTATCGTATTTCTCTTCTAATGCATTCAACGGTTATTCGGCTAAAAATAAGAGTTAGGATGAAGGCAAAAGGAAATTAATTTGAGCAAAATCTGGAATAAAATAGTGAGTGATGATAGAATAATGGTTAGAGCAGACAAATCATTAAATCATCATTAATGAAAATTCGAATAAATGACAGAAATTCACATGATATTGACAGATTATTATTCACATAATTAACATATTATTATGGTGGCTTCTGTCACGCCTAGATGTCTAGTTTATGGTGACTGCTGTCACGCCTAGGTGTCTAGTTTATGGTGACTGCTGTCACGCCTAGGTGTCTAGTTTATGGTGACTGNATCACGAACATTCATGCTCGCTATTCATCACGAACATTTATGTTCGTTATTCATCAAGAACATTCATACTCATCATGCATCACGAACATTCATGCCACCATTCATTATCCTAATATCATGCCTCTCAGATATGTCTTTCAAAATCATTAAGACCTTAAAAGTATTAGCTGGGATGAATGAAGCATTTTACTTCAGCCATAACATGTTTAGCATGACTAGCGTAGTTAACAGTTCGAACAAGCGATCATTTTGAATTGTTGGCTATAATATTTCACAAGAAGAAGAGTTCTATTTTCGAGCCATCCTCGCCGTATGTCAGACAGAAGTCACATGGGAGTCACATGGCAGTCACATGGCAGTCACATGGAAGTCACATGGGAGTCACTTGGCAGTCACATGGGAGTCACATGGCAGTCACATGGCAGTCACATGGCAGTCACATGGCGGTCACATGGCGGTCACATGGAAGTCACATGGCAGTCACATGGCAGTCACATGGAAGTCACAAGGCAGTCACATGGCAGTCA